GAAACAGAGTTAAATGTGAAGGGTTTCCAAGAAACATGCTGTTAGGATGAGAAAAGTATATGGTTTTGTACAGCTGCACAAAGTACTTCAGTCACTGTGTGTGTCGAGCAAAATAATAAACAGCAGAATCTTCAGTCTACTGTTCATCTGCAGATACAGCTGCTGTCTGTTGTTGTCTCTGGAGATGGTAAAACGGCCCTGGACTGACTGAGAGTAGTAAGTGGTTCCCCCGCTGCTGCTAATATAAGCAATCCACTCCAGTCCTTTTCCAGGAGCCTGTCTGATCCAGTGCATACTGTAGCCACCAAAGTTATATCCAGATCCTGTACAGGTCAATCTGTGGGATTCTCTTGGTCTTTTAACTGCTGGTTCAGATTCTGTCAGAGTCTGACCATTAACGCCTGTCAACAGAAATAAACAAACAATGACTGAAACATAATTTAATTTCATAATCAGTTAAAAGAATATGAAAAGAGTTTTAGTGGAGAGTTTTACCTGCACAGCAGACAATCAAAAGTAACAACAGTGTCATACAGTTGTGGACAAGAGATATTTTATTTTGTATTCCGATGGTGACATTTTATAATCATAACTATCATTGATCAATCATTCATCATTGTTGAATCTGATGACAGTATAATCTCTGAATTATATCTATGGTAATCTGAGTAAAGATTAATGTATACATATTAGCATCACTTTAATCAGTCTCTTTTTATCTGCTTAAGCTGTTGTACCACATCATTGTGTTCACACCTCTCGAAGATGTGGGTCCTGATGGACCCTGGGCCTTCTACATTCAGTTTTGCACGTAGTCAGGCCTACACCAACATGCACAGAGAGTCATGTAACACACGCACGTTCACACACACTTATTAACATAGGGAGGTCGTCTTAGGACATCCTCTCTACTTGGATACACAATTTCACAAAATACACAACATATCACACACTTGTTTGTCTCTAAGGTAGCATCTGATGTCTATATAAGGACAACTTTTTGAATGTGGAGAACTGATATCATTTCCAGTAAGATCTAACTGTGACGTCATCAGGGTAATATAATAATGAAAAAGCATCCGCCCTGCGGAGATTGTTGTTGTACTTTTGTCTTCCCACACTTCTGCGCAAAGTGTGTAATAAAGATCACTATTTTTTGGCACCTACCCGGACTCGGCCTGCTTTCTTCTCTTACCCAAATCGAACGAATCATAACACAGTCCATTATTTTTGACTATGTCTTTGCCTGTCCACTATTCTCTCCACACTTGACAGCAGGCAGTTAAATAGACGTCAAATACATCTAAGTATTTGCATTGACTCCTCATTAAAACTAGGACATTTAAAATATTAAATAATTAATGTGAAGCCATATTTACACTAGTTTCTTTTCAAAAAGCACATTAACAAAATTTACAGGCACTGAAAAAAAAGGAAACTCACTATTTACTGTAAGGTTCTTGAGTATTGGCTGCTGCTGCACACATCTGCTGTTTTAACAAACAAAGATCTAAGATCTGTGTCAGTCCTATGTCTACTGCCTTCTTTCATATTTGGTAAATGCCGTCTTTTATGAGTAGTCTATCTATAAAAGACACATCTCCTGGATGCACTGGTGCGCAATTTAAGTGATGTATCCTGGGGTCATCAGGTGTTTCGGGTCTCACAACATCATACACCCTCGCCCAGGCGACCCAGCTGGGGGTGATCAGGCCCCGAATTGCGTACCAGTAGCTACCCACGGATCAGCCCTCTTGATCCACAGCCACCTTGTGGCTTTCTCTGCTGCTTCACTCACAGCCTGGATGGCCCTCTTCTTGGCTGCCCCAGCCACGCCCTGCTGGCCTAGGACTGATGTGATCATCCTGCAAAGCCCCCACAACCCACTTCTATGGGCTCATAGAAAGTCTTCCAGCCCCTTCCCCTGCACTCCTGCACTAGTTCCTGGTACTTTCCTCATTTCCTTTCATTGGCCTCCTCGATCCGCTCTTCCCAGGGCACTGTGAGTTCCAGCATGATCAGATGTTTTGAGGCCTCAGAAATAATTATCATGTCTGGCCGGAGGGATGTTTTTGCAATGTTCTGAGGGAACTTTAGCTGATTACCCAGGTCAGCCTGTAGCTGCCAATCAGAGGCTGTGTTGAGGAGGCCGGTTGTTAAATGTGGGCGCACCTAGGGTTTCTCTCCAGCCGTGAAATGAAGGCAATGAAAGAGATTGCCTTCCTTGGAGCATGATGATGCTTGCTGGTTCTGATTGCTGAGGCAATCGTCTACTCTGAGCACCTGGTCATGCCGCCAACGATACCGACCATCGGCCAGGGCCCTTGGGCAGCTGCTAAGGAGGTGTTCTAGGGTCCCTCTTCCAGAGCACAGGGGACAGACAGGTGTCTAGCTCTTCCCCCACAGATGGAGGTTTGCTGGGTTTGGCAGAGTGTCGTATACTGCCTGCACTAGGAATCTGATCCAGTTGAAGTCTGCCTGCATGATGTTTGCCCAGGTGACCTTGCGCTGCAAGGTACTCTCCCACCTTGTCCATGCCGCTTAAGGCCTACAGCTCTACTTACTCGCTCCTCCTCCACACCTGCTCGGACCTCTTCCTGGAGTAGCTGGTGTCTCTCCTTTCCCTGTGCCCTGCTGACCTGGGCCTTTGGGAAGTACCCCAAGCCTGCTCCCCCTGTTGCTAAGACCCCCACCAGTGTTTTCTGCCTTAGGCATGACTCTGCCACCTCAACTGCCTTCTCAGCCTTCCTCTTTCTTCCTGTCCTTACCTCAATACCTGCTGATGCCACCTTGCAGTCTTTAGAATCTCTGTACTGTAGGGCTTCTCGTGTGCGAGCCACCTTGAACTCTTCTGTGAGGCCACTGAAGGGTAACTGCAAGCTGTTGCTTGCCCCATACAAGGCAGCGCTGGTGAGACTGCGGGGAAGTCCCAGCCACTTACGAAGAAAAGTCCCAGTCCCAGCCACTTAGTCTATCTATAATACATATCTGCAATGTCTCACCTCATGTTTTCAGCTCAGAAGAGGACTTGCCCAGTTTATCTCTCTTAGAATTCCTCTAAGTGATGCGTTGTGTACATTTTAAAGACATTTAAAAGTATTTTTTATTTCATTTTGCCTGGTATGTTTTTAAATCTATGAATCATTTATAAATATCATATCACTGGAATTCATGTAAGAATTTGTGTGCAATCAGCTCTTCCTTGAATTTATTAAAAATTTTAATTAAAAAGTGCAGCAGAGAATATTACAAAAAATCACCTGCTGCAGAAATACACAAAGTCTATACTATTAAACATGTCTTCATAGATTTATTCTGATGAAACTTAACTAATTTGTTGGAGAGTAATCTTCTCATTCATTCTCTCTTTCATTCATTTTTAATGACAGTGTCATTCACAAGTTGTAAAATAATTAAAGTTATTTATTTTTAATGATAAGAGAGTAGCATTGGCACAGGGAGATATTTATAAAATTCACATATTTACATATCAAGATTTGTGACAATTCATATGTAACATTTTCTTTCTCCAAACTCTGATTATACCTTCCTAAATATTTGTGCAGGTTTTTGTCACTGTGGCCCAGAGACATTGCTGATTTACAGATTTACAGTAAGGGGCAGACTTAAAACCAACTGCCTTCTAGTGTCCTGACAAAATCTGCAACATTAGTTTTGAGTCGAGATTCTGAAACGTGTTTTTATTTATGTTTAATTATTTATTGATACTAGTTTCTCTGTCTGTGTGTAAGGGTCATTAAAGTATTTTGTGTTTCTAATGTGTTATTTGAGTGGACCCAGTAAAATAGGATGCAGCTGCAGTATCAGAACTGCAGACAACATTTTTGGTCATGAAGCTGAACTGATGTGACCCGCTTTGTTTCCTCACTGATCCACCGTCAAATACTTTACTTAAGTTGTTAGAAAGTGTAGTGTATTGGTCTACATGGTCCCTGGCTTGTGCCCAAGAAGAGAAAAATTACCTGGAAGTTCTGTCAGAATCAGCCACATCAAATATTCAGAGCTACCTCTCATGGTGAACAGCTGAAAGTACCTTTATTCCTCTCCCTGCATTAAAAACACTGCTCTAAATTGATCCTCATCTTTATCATAAAACTATGTGTGTTTATTTTATACAGCGTTTAAAGCTCACTGGATTTGTCAGAACACTGTGATGAATTATAAATTTAGTGTTTGTGTGGTTCAGTATGAAGCATATTTTTCAGGTCAATTTGGTTGAAATACTTGCTAACTCGTAAACAGTTAGACACAGTGGTGTTTTCCAAACATTGGTCAAATACATTTATATTCTGTCTATCAGAGATGAACTGACAAGACAAATGTTCATACAATTCATACAATCATTATTCACATTTGCAAAGGCTTTCTGCTGTAGCTGAACTTGCTCTTTAAACTGTAGCAAGCAACAATGATCGGTCCCATTATCAAAAAAAGCAAAAATACTTTATTGATGTACATTTGAAATATATTTATTTATTTAGCACTCTTTATTTAACACTTTGGTCAACTTCATACCCATGTAATGAAATGAACAGCATAGTATATATTTTTTGGGGTTTTTTTTAATGTTGTATTATTATTAGCAGTATTATTTTTGTGATTGTATATAGTGTGTTTCCAACTTTCACTGTTATCCATGTTGGCACACAATCTCTTATTGTATTTGCATTGCATTGTATTTGCACCGTGGACCAAGAACTCTACAATTTAGTTTCTTTGTAAACTTGTCTGAGATAAAAATAGACTTTGTTTTGACTTTGTCTTTAAATGTCTGCTACTTCAGTCTTCCAGCTAAACTCACGCATAAAGCTGCAGCTATCAGTGATCCATCTGTTTTCTAAAGGTAGAGATGAGACATGATGAGAGCTGCAATAAATGTTTTTATTCCAACTTCTATGCATATTGTCCTATAGAAATTCAGTATTTCTTATTTCTTCTGACACATGGAGGATTTTGTACAGCAGCTGAAACAGCTCCAGTCACTGTGGCTCTCGAGCACAATAATAAACAGCAGAATCTTCAGTCTTCAGACTGTTCATCTGCAGATACAGCTGCTGTTTGCTGTTGTCTCTGGAGATGGTGAACCGGCCTCTGACTGACTGAGAGTAGAAGCTGCCACTACTATCAGAGTAAATGAACGCAATCCACTCCAGTCCTTTTCCAGGAGCCTGTCTGACCCAGACCATCCAGGAGCTGCTGAATGTGAATCCAGAGGCTGTACAGGTCAGCCTGTGTGACTCTCCAGGACTTTTAACTGCTGGTTCAGACTCTGTAAGAGTCTGACCATCAACACCTGTCAACAGAAATAAAGAGAGAGAATAAAAAAATAAAAAATTACAATGATTTTTTTTTGGGTAAAAGCTTTACCTGCACAGCAGACAGTCAAAAGTATCAGCGCTGTCTTACAATCCATTTTGATTAACTGTCTGTCCACTATTCCCTGCCTGCTTTGAGCAGTCTGATAAGTGGAGGCAGAAGAAAGGATATTTGCATCAGCTCCTCCTCAACAAGAAGACAGAAAAGTTGAATAAATAAAGAGTTTTTACTCAAAGACACTGTACTTCACTCATATCTATCTATCTATCTATCTATCTATCTATCTATCTATCTATCTATCTATCTATCTATCTATATATATATATATATATATATATATATCTATATATATATATATGTATATGTATATATATATATATATATATATATATATATATATATATATATATATATATATATATATATATATATATATATATATGTATGTATATATATATAGCACGGAACGGGTCAGCTGCCGTTCCGTGCCACGGCTTCGGGAAGTACATGTTTCAGCAGAAAAAACACACATGCACAGGATGGAGAGGAGAACACAACAAAGTACACACAAACACCACCAAACATTGGCAAGGCGATCGGTGAGGACCGTCTAGCCGTGACATGCTGTTAAAATTGTCTTTTGTCACTATCAGTAATAATAATAATAATAATAATAAACAGCAGAATCTTCAATCTTCAGCCTGTTCATCTGTAGATACAGCTGCTCTCTGTTTTTTTTCTCTGGAGAAGGTAAATTTGAAGTGGCTGAGAATAACAGACTTTAGCAATATCATAACTTCTCACACCTGCTCCTGTCGGCTGTTAGTTTTTCTTACACAAAATCTAAGTAAAAATCTTCCCCTTCCAAGTAGAGACTTTGAAGCAATGGCCCCATCTTGTAGTTGGTACTAAAACTATGAATGATATTAGAGAAGTATATTCTTCTCTGCTTTCAATTATGTTGTCAGATAAATTGGAATGAATTTGGAAGTCACTGTTAATGTGTGTTGAACCTGGACAGTTGAAATGCATTTTAATGTTGGATTCAACTTTCAAAACATGATATGGCATATTCATTGAAATGAGGACTACACCGTATGTATTACAGACAAAACCAAATGCTCTGTGTCACTGTGATAAATAGAGGAAGTATTGTTTGTATGACTCCTCTGGTATTTAAGTTACTGTGTACCCTTTGGCACAGTAATACACTGCTGTGTCCTCAGTCTTCAGATTGTTCATCTGTACATAGACATTACTCTGGAGTCATCTCTGGAAATAGTAAATCTACCCCTGACTGACTGGGAGTAATAGATAGGAGTACTAGCTGTATCTATATAATCAATCCACTCCAGCCCTTTTCCAGGAGCCTGCCTGATCCAGTTCCACACTGAGCCCCTAAAGCTAAATCCAGATATTGTACATGTGAGTCTGTGCAACTCTCCGTGTCTTTTGACAGCTGGTTCAGACTCTTTTATGCTCTGACCTTGGACACAACTTGAAACAAAGAGAGCAACTAACAGGAGTGTCACCTTTCTGTAAGCCATACTGACAGTGTGTTGGGTATGTTTACAACTCTGCAGAACTCCTTTAAATATGATCATGTAATGAGATTCTCACTACATCACTGACACTGTATTTACATTAAGCTCCTCCTATCACATTCAAATTCTGTTTCTAAAATCAAATTTGAAGTTGTGAACTCAGATTAACAATATTAAAAAAATGTAATTCTCTTCCAGTTAAGAGATTTGTTAAAATTGGAATGAAATTTGAAATTAATTATCTATCCATAATTATTATGCCAGTAGTGACTGGTTCTCCATTGTTAATACAAAGAAAGAAAACATTGGTAAAACCTTATGAAAAAGAACCCCTGACTTTTGTTATGGAAAATCTTAAATAAAATTACAACCACCAGTTGAGTGTGTCTTTTGAAGTGAGGTTTATTGAAAGAAAAAGGAAAAGAAAAAAACACTGCAGTGGAGCAAACGTTCAGATCAAGGCGGCTTTACCATCAGCCCCATCCTTAAAACCCCTTCCCTCACAGAGAGAATTATGGCCTTTTTTTCTGCTTAGCCGTCACCTAAGGATTTACATCCCTGACAGTCAGAAGGAGTCTCACGACCTGTTTAAGGTCTCCCACTACAATGGCCTCACTGTGTGTGTAGAGCATAAGGCCCATCTGTAGTGCACATGCATACAACTAAGTGAGAAAGTGACATTACTATGACTAATGTGATATGATTAAAATATATGATTAATACATGACAAAAGAAATCTGCCACCACACTTTCCTGATAATGTTAGGCTCATTTACAAACTTCATATTGTCTCCAAATGTTTTAGTAAAGTGTGTGGCTGAACACACAGAAGTGAACTCCTTGTAAGGTTCCAGTCAGGTTTTAAAGCAAACTATAGCTCAGACACTGCTCTCCACAGATTTTCTGGTGATCAGTGATAATGGCGATATCTTTGTGCTGGCAATCTCCCCCTCCCAATGATTTTAACCTTTATTATTATTATTATTATTAAGACTGATAGTAAAGGTGAGAAATGTAGGACTTTCTACAGATGCTTAAAGTACTTCAGTTACTATGAGTGTTAACAGCAGAATCTTCAGTCTTCAGACTGTTCATCTGCAGATACACCTGCTATCTGCTGTTGTCTCTGGAGATGGTAAATCAGCTGACTGAGAGCAGAACGTGGTGACACCACTGGCCCAGATGTGAGCAATCCACTCCAGCCCTTTTCCAGTAGCCTGTGTGACCCAGTTTCATCCAGATCTTGTAAAGGTCAATTTGTGGGCATCCTAATGATTTTCATAATAAATTTAAAGAAATTATAAAGTTTCAGTAAATGTTTTTATCTGTACGGCAGACAGTCAAAAGTAGCAACACTGTCCTACAGTCTATCAAATCAAATAATAATACAAATTTTTGTATAAGTTATAATAATGGATTGCACTTATATAGCGCTTTTCGAGACCCTCAAAGCACTTTACAATGCCACTATTCATTCACTCACATTCACACACTGGTGGACGCAAGCTACAGTTGTAGCCACAGCTGCCCTGGGGCAGACTGACAGAAGCAAGGCCACCATATCGCGCCATCGGACCCTCTGGCCATCACCAGTAGGCAGTAGGTGAAGTGTCTTGCCCAAGGACACGACCGAGACTGTCTGAGCCGGGGCTCGAACTAGCAACCTTGCGATTACAAGACGAACTGCCAACTCTTGAGCCACGATCACCCCTCGAGCCCTCGTTGTAGGGAAATTTTTTTTTTGCAATTTTACAGTCTACCATATCAAACTATGAGTTCAGATCTTTCTTATATAGAAGTAAAATACATCTGAATTAGTGTTGACCCCTCCCAGAATGGATTCACTTGGAATGAACTTGTCAGATGTTTTTGCCTCTCATGTGTTTAGCCTGAATACTCCTTGAATATTTTTTGCTGTAAAGGAATTTTTAGTGTGAGAAAATCAGTCAGCTGTATGTCACAGAGTAATGGTCCTTGTCAGCGACAATGTGAACCAACAAAGAGTGGCTAATAAAGCTGGTTATCTTCAAACTCCTTCAGATATATTAACTTGACTAGAGTACAGGTTTATATTTTTCTTATTTGCTATGAAGTGTTAACAACCAGACTTTGTAAGTGAAGCTTTTCATGAATAGTAGGGATTCTTATTTTAATAACTAAACATGTTCACTGAATTAAACACAGCTATAAATTTTATACAAGATAAGTCAAATTTGCATTGTTGTAATAAGAAATAGAGGAAATATTTTTTGCATCACTCCTCTGGAACTCAACTCACTGTGTCTCTTCTGGCACAGTAATAAACTGTCCTTGGTCTTCAGATTGTTCATCTGTAGATAGACTTTACTGCTGGAGTCATCTCTGAAGATGGTGAATCTACCCTGGACTGACTGGGAATGACAGGGTGGGCCATTTATATGGATACACCGTAATAAAATGGGAATGTTTGGTGATATTAAAGTCCTGTTTGTGGAACATTAGTATATGTGAGGGGGCAAACTCCTCAAGATGGGTGGTGACCATGGTGGCCATTTAGAAGTCGGCCATCTTGGATACAACTTTTGTTTTTTCAATAGGAAGAGGGCCATGTGACACATCAAACTTATTGGTAATGTCACAAGAAAAACAATGGTGTGCTTGGTTTCAACATAACTTTATTCTTGCATGAGTTATTTACAAGATGACAGCCTCCTGAGTGGATCGCACACAACAACAACATAAGAGAGTGCCTGATATGTTTTCAAATCCATGAATTCCCCTTTAAATAAGCTATAAACTGGATTTAAACTGGATTCCTCTGAGAATGTGTTCCCAGTTTGCTCCTCCTACATACATTTGTTAAACTGAAACTCAAAAGTACAGCAGAGAGAACACCTGTGACAGAAATGTATGTAAATACATACATTTCCATGTATTTAAATGTATGTAAATATATAAATATATATTGTTAAAGTCTTTAGAAATGTCTTCTAATGAAATTTGACTAATTTGTTGAAACTTTCACTAATTCTAACTAATTCTGACCAACTAGGGGCTGACTAGTTAGTAAGCCAGTAAGTTTTTTTTTCATACCTTTGTGCTACTGAAAGCTAAAACTTCATGACACCAAAAGTTAAGAATGCTTCAGTATTCAAATTGTGTTTTCAGTCACAGAAATACCAGGAAATACTGCACCACAGACAGTAATAACTCAGGAAATGAAACAGGTGTGACTGAGTGCAAAAACATAAAAATAAAAATACTGCTTATGGTTCTGGCTCATTTAAAAAAAATGATATGAAACTGCTCTGCCTTTTCTTTCAAGCTTATGATTTTATGTTACAAAAATGCTAACTGACTTATTCTTTCAAGATTGCTTAATACTCTAATTTGCTCTTTGGATTTGGCAGAACTGAAACTGTTAAATTTGTTAATCTCACTTTTCTCTACTGCACCTGCAAAAACAGCTGCTATCTGCTGTCAACTCTAGAATATGAGAAAGTTTTCATGACACCTGCGTTTTTACATTTATTACTTGTGTGTGGTTGTGTGTTGCTTGTTGTTGAGTATTTTTGCA